CCTGACCATCGAGACGGCAGGTAGAAGGTCGCCTTCGGTTTTGAAACCGGGTCCTCCAAGGCGACCTTAAAGGGCCCGCGGCAGGCGAGATGAGGATTAATTGGGACTGAGCATCCGGGCAGGAAGGAGAGTTCCCTAAATCCCCTAAGATTTTTAAGGAGTTTCCTAATTCTTGGAGGAGTTCCCTAAAAGTGGGGAGTTCCCATTCCATGCTCTGAGTGCACCCCTGGGTGGTGGGAGGGGAAATCGGCACCCGGCCTGGCCAGGATCCGCTTGTGACCCAAAGCCTGAGCCCCCCTCGTGAGGACAGCCCATGCCACCGCACGTAGCAGCCGCCACCTTTGTGCAGGACCAAGTGCCAACCATGCAAGTCTCCTTCCCCTTCCAGTCACACTTTGGATTCAAAACCCAAACCTGTCTTAAGGTACAAACGAGCCCCCAATCCCAAATATAATTTAAGGAGAACATCTATCTGTTAAGTCTTAAAAAGGGACTTTGAAGACTAGAGGGTGCCCGGTGTGTTTTACATTGCCTCACGGGCACATGGAAGTTGGGTATTGACGAAGGAAGACCGGAGAGAATCCCTGCGTGTGGATGGTGGTGCTGGAGAAGACCACTGACTGCCGTGGCCTGTCAGCAGAACAAGCAGATGTGCCCTGGAGCAGCCCAGCCAGCATGCTCCCAGAACTGAGGATGGGACTTCGCCTCGCGTGCTTTGGACATGTTGTCAGGAGAGACCCGTCCCTGGAGAAGGACAGACAAAGAGGAAGGCCCTCCACGAGATGGCTGGACACAGTGCTTACAGCCAAGGGTTCAGGCACAAGGACCACTGTGAGGCTGGTGTACTTGGGTCACTGTGGATCAGAGCCCACTCATAGCACCCCACCACAACAAAAGGGACAGGCAACACGAAGATACAGGCACATCATCCGGTCCAGGGAGGACATCATGGCCCCAGGGGATTCACTGTCAGGATGCTATTCAATAAACCCTGCAACAAAGGAAACCGTCCCAACCTCATGGTCGATGGCGGATCCATACATCCCGGTTACAGGTGTGACTACAGAAGTGGGACCAGGTTGGGATAAAATA